ATCAACGAGGCCCCGAAAGAAATGGTTTGTTGAATTTTGCTGCGCGGAAAATAGTTCTTGTTGCCGTGTTGCCGAAGCATGTTCAATACCGTATCTTGGACTCACTAAAGATTTTGGGGATTTGATGGACCCGCTAGTCATGGACCAAATCGTGTTTTGGTTTCAGGAACTCATATCCAAAGGGGAAGCCGTTGACCTTTGGGGATCCATTCCCTGTGGCCCCTACTCACCCCTTCAAAATTTGAACAAGGCAGTTCAGGGTGAATCATACGATGAGGTTCTTAAAGAGAAACGTCGTGCCACCCAGATCCTCCATGAACATTTCATGAAGCTTGCCGGCCTAGCTCTGGAATCGGGGGGGTCGTCGTCGTTCGAATGGCCTCTCAGGAATGGTGGATGGGATGAAGATTTCATTGTCCACATGATTGTTCTACATCAAATGTATTCTTGCTATCCTTCTGGTTGCGGTATGAGACTTGAGGTTGAGGGGAAGCATCCACTTAAGGAATGGCGCGTTGTGACTACTTCCAAACGGTTGGCTGCTCATTTGGATCGTTTGCGGTGTAGTCATCCACCCGGTCACAAGCACGACCCTATTGAAGGTGGATCTATGGCTAGAAAGTCTGGCATATACAATACCAAAATGGCTGTAGCTATTCTCTCCGCTTTGAACCCAGCTGCTGCGTTTCAGGATGTTCCCCACCTTCCAACCGTCCATGGAACAAGCGCCCACCAGGAAAAGGGATTGTGGATGGCTCAGCTTGCGTTCGGATTAATCCACGCGCCGCTGACACGAGTGGAATTGCTGAATCACCCAGAAGGACGGGCTAATCATGGATGAAGCCAACGAAATGCGTGGTATGGAAGTTTGGGATGAGGGCGACATGCATGAGGTAGACGATTTGAAGTGCAGTGCCCGCGAAACTGGTGAGACCATTCATATGGCAGAAATGATGGCCATTGGATCCATCAAATCTGCAGAAACAGCGGCCAAGGCCAAGCTTAAGGTCGGGCTGGTCTACAGAGGTGACGATACTCGCGACCAAAACGGACAGATGGCATTGCTTCGCGATCTGAAGTCTCTCCAGCCTCAGTAACCATAAACCTGGTTCTCTGGTTTGGAATGAGGACAGGACATGGAGTTAGAATAGCGGAATTCTCCCAAAGGAAATTTGGAAGCCTCAATGGTTCAAGGTCTACCGCCGAGTAGCGGCCCGACTCAAGAAAGCCCTTTACGGGCACCCAACTAGCGGGGATGACTGGTCGGTGTACTTTGACGACGCGCTTGTTTCAAAACTGCAGGGTCAAAGGGTTGAATCGTTTCCATCTTTGTGGTGGTTTCCATCTCTTGAGCTGTTAGTGGCTGGCTATGTGGACGACATAGTGGCTGCCGGGCCCATGCAGTCCATGCAGACGTTTTGGGATGAGTTGCAAAAATATGTCACTGTTGACACCATAGAGGAACCTGGAAGGTATTTGGGTAGAGACCATTTGATTTTTGATTTCCATGGGGGTAAAAGGGTCTTTCTGCGCATGACAGATTACGCAATCTCATCGGTCCAATTGTATGAAGATCAGTTCCATAAGACATTGAAGGTTTATGAGACACCCTTTGTCACGGAGTCGGTCCTTACGGTCGAAGGCTACGAGCAGTCAGGGCAGTTGGCGCAAAGCGCAGCACAGCTTCTCATGAAGCTACTTTGGCTAGCTCGGCTAGCCAGGCCGGATATATCCTATGCTATAACTGCGTTAGCTGGTTATATATCAAAATGGACCAGAAACCATGATCTCATGCTGTGTAGGTTGCTCGGTTATGTGAAAGGGACCACAAGCTTTGGTCTCTATGGATCTGTTTCTTCTGGTCATGAAATCCCTCGCCTCCATTTGTTTGCCGATGCGGACCTGGCTGGGGATCCATTGTCCATGAAGTCTCACAGCGGACATTTCGTGATCTTGAGAACTGCCGAAAACTCCTTCCCACTCATGTGGGCATCTAGACGTCAGGGTTGTGTTTCTCGAAGCACAACAGAAGCAGAAATTGTTTCTGCGTCAGTGGTTGTTTTTGAGGAAGGTCTCCCACTTAAGACAGCGCTCGAACTCATCACCTCGTCGCAGATCGATACGATCCTCCAGGAGGACAACTCGGCTGTCATCTCCATACTAAGGTCAGGGTATAGCCCTAAGTTGCGGTCATTAAACCGCACGCATCGCATCAGTGTGGCTGCGTTGGCTGAAGTCTTCCAACAAGGTCTGATCGAAGCTGAACTTACCCCCACTAAGGAGCGGCTAGGTGACATTTTCACCAAACCTCTCGGAAGAATGCTCTTCCTGGCGGCAAGAGACTCGATTGGAGTCGCGGCTCCTCCACAAACCTAAAAGGCTAGACCCAGCGCTCTGCGTGGGCTACCAAGGAATGGGCCGCTGCTCCTCTTCACCTTGTTCTGCGCAGCTGTGCCCGCGCCCCTTTGGCTAACCAGCTGCTGCGCTCAGCTGCCTGAGTGAAATTGTCGGTGTCACCTCCCAGATATGGCTCATTCGGAACCTTTACGCCAAACTTGGTTGGCGGCCATATGTCAGTGACCTACGAGCTTTGGGCCGGGCGAAGCTCACTGGTCACTTGCTTCTAGGCATTTTGGCGCCACGACATTTGGAGGGGGGGACGAAGAATCCAGGAGCCGTTTCACCTCATTGGAGACAAGATGTCTCATGGATCTTTGGCTCAAGTCATCGAAAAGGGCTGAATCACCGAAAGTTGTGAAGTCATTCACTGGACTGAGGTGCTTCAGGGAGGTCGTTCTCATACGTTCCCTCATTCGACGCCGTTTTCACCACGTTCACCTTCAAAACACCTTGTGCGCGCAGGCCTCAACACCTCGCGGACTGTCTGCGCATGGGGCCGGTGAATTCTCACGGCGATCGATTTATTGTAGTCGTCCTCTTCAAGGTTGGAGTCTGAATTGCAGGTGGAACTTCAGCAATCCAAACTTGGCCATCTGGCCAACGCTAAGGCGTTCATTGCTGGGCCGTCGTTTGCCAGAGCAAGGCTCTCCAGCGATATGGCTTGGAGCGAAGTCATTCACTGGACTGAGGTCATGTCCCTCGCAAAGGTCGTTCTCATCAGGCCTCTCAGTCGACGCCGCATTCCTTCAAAACACCCTGTACACGCAGGCCTCAATGCCAAGTAGCGCAAAGCTAAGTATCGCCCATATTTCGCAGACTCTTCCATCGTTTCATTTCCCACCTCCTTCAGAAAGCTTCCTTCTGCGACGGGCAACTCTTCCACCATGAAAGTTGCGACAGCCGACAGTGCCATTTTCTGCCATGCTTTTTGTCCTCCAACATGGCCATGTTTGTCAGCATAGAAACGTGGACGGCGACTGTAAAGGTTCCGCTCTTCAGTTTGATCTCTTTGCTTGTTGCAGCCAGGAAGCTTTGATCTCTTCCAAAGCCAAACCTTGATTGCCCTCAGGCTCTTCTGCACATTTTTCCAGGCGAAACCGTTCCATTGGCCGCAATGAGATTCTCATCATACGTGGCTCAACAAGTTTGAGAAGGTGTCACGAGCTTGCAACTTTGTCAGTCCATCGGCCAGCGGAGCTGAGTTTCTGGCTCCTGTGGAGTTTGCGCTCTGGCATTTTTGCAGGCAAGTCGTTTGCACGCCCCGCCCACTGCCACCCTACGGAGTGCTTCTGGTTGGGGAAATTTGTTGCGCCCATGCTGGGCGCATGTTTTGGGCATAAGCTATGCCCATGTGGTGGTTGGTTTGGTTGGCGCTCGAAGTTCTCCTACCACAGTTGTCCACATACGAGTCGCTGGTAAAAAAGAGTGCGTGTTGCCGCGTTGGCGTGCCTGGCTGCTTTGGGGGGATTGAGCCTACTTCCCATGTTGTTGGCTTTTTGTTTAAAGCTAGACTGACTATTGAATCAGCCCCGATTCAATAAGCAGGACAAACAAAAAGGGCCCCATGAACCGGCCCTTTTGGCCAAGGGCTAATTTTTTCGCCCACTGTGTCGAGAACCTAGCTTTTCTGGCGGGCGTTGGTGCATTCCACCTTCCCGGGCACCGTGAATGCGGCGCGGCGCGTGTGCAAATATGAGACACGCCGTATCTGGCCATGTCGAAGAAGCACCGGGCCTAAAGGATTGGTTTGGTTCGGTTTCTGCCTGCCCCCTTCTTTCATCCCCGGGTGGCCGATTCTCCTCGCCTGGTGACTGGTGAGCGATTTGGTTCGGTTTCCCCCTGCTGCCTTCTCTCCTCCTCCGCCTGATTCGGGTTGGTTTCTGTTTCCCCTTGCGCTGAATCTGCGTGCTTTGCTACCTTGATGACCGATTCCTGGCGACCGACTCCTTGCAACTAATTCCACGGCTGCTTCCCGGCGACCGATTCGGACATTGTCATGACCGATTCCGGTGTTTTGGTGACCGATTCCTGGTTCCCTATTTGGGCATCGTGGTGACCGATTCTGGTGTTCGAATCGGGCCTTGTGAATCTCTCCTGCCCTAAGAATCATTGGACCTTCCTATGGAGGGTTTTGACCCTGCATAGCAGGGGTTTGGACCCTCAAAACCTTCACCTTTGAAGGTCCTTGATTATTAGGGTGGAAAGTCAGTTGCGTGGCGGAATGACATCGCCCTGTGGAATCTTTATAGTTAAGTTAAGTGTGATCAAGCGGTTGGCAACATTTGTGTGGTTAGTGGTTGGGGGATGATTCCGGTTCATTATCGTTCGCGTACAAAGTTTAGGGCAATTTTTATATCATTGCACCCCGGCAACATTGACCTTAGGTCTTAGTGTTAGGTGCATATTTCCACTGACCTATCTACTCGTGATGAACTATTCCATTTAGGTGGAAAAATATCCGCTGCCGCCGAGGAAAGGAGTAGGTGGTTGTTGCAGTGTTTTTTGGATTTCATTGAGTCCTTGTTGGCACAATTCTTGAGGTTAAATGAATCATAATGAATCCAAGTGCGATCAACTTCAGTTGCGTTGCAACCGCGTAGGCGTCCCACGTCCAGCTCATCGAAGATGAAGCTGTGGTGGAACCCCTAGCTTAGCAAATATCCGATCCTTCATGAAACAGAAACATAGTGAACGAACTTTAGTTGAACGTTACTTCTTTTAGAGCAAGAATTAGAATATTGAAAACTTCTGGCGACTCTGAGGTGAACTAGACTTTGTAACAGTTCGATTGTTCGGCTCCAGTGATCTTCAAAGGCCCGGATTGCCCACTATGCCATTGGATTAGTTCTGTCCAAGCTGAGCTCCAAGACGCGGTCCGCGCCCTGAGCTTTACTGAACCTTGGAAGAGATTTTGTTTCGTTAGCAGGATCTGTTGAACTTTGGTAGACATGACATGAAAGCGTGGAATAGCATGAATTGCTTGGTCTTGTCAGGTCAAGAGTTATTCGAGGAGGTCCGGATGCAGCTCTGCAAACTTTGGGTAAAGAGATATTGTCGGACTCTTGGAATTTTGTGCGACTTGAGAAGCACAGCAAAGTTCTTTGCAATACGAGACATGCCAAGAAATTTCCATCGTGTTCTTTGGACAGGTGATAAAGGATCTCTGTAGGATGCTGTTTATTTCTTTTCTGCTATGAACCAGTTGCAATTCAGACGCGCAAAATCTCACAGGAGAGAAGGCGGTTTCTTTCCGAAATATAGTTCGAGCATTGTTCTGCATTGGAATCTGTTCGAAAGAAAGCAGAACTTTGCGCTTTCTTTCGGTGGGGGGAATTGAGGAGTTTTCTTTTGACTATAAACTTTACATGTCAACGCAGGACATGTTATCATCAGGTGTTTGTAGTTTCTTAGTAGCAACCTTTTAGACACATGACATTAAATGCGTAACATCAAAACTGAATCACTCTCCCGAGGCCATAGACGTCTCTGTTTTATAATAGGCATATACTGGTTCAGTGTATTATGTATTTGGTCATTTTGTTAGGTTGATGCACTCGCTCTGCGAGGCCTGACTTCCTTGGAGGTCAGCGCAATTCAGTCGGTGAGTTTTCGGGTTGGCTAGAGCCCGGGTGCCTGGATCCCTTGAATTCCTTGATTGTTTCCGTAAGATTTACAAGAAGTAGCTGTTGTGGCTCTGGTGATGGCTTCATTGAGAAGCCGAGGCAACTCGAACTAGCAGATGCTTGTCAAATTGCAGCCTCTGCTTGTGTCGGGTCATCTGCGCTTTGACTACATACGGAAGTGGACTGCTGAGCTTCAGCTGTGGATCGTGTGTTCTCAGCTGTGTTTCCAAACCAAAACTTCACGGCTTACTAACCTAAGCTTTCAGGCTGCAAGATGAAGGTTTGTTGCTCTACAATATCCCAAAGGCGCACCGCAGACTCTGGCAGTTCTATAGTTGGAAAAGCAACTGCAACAACTGCAAGAGATTAACTTAAGTTACAATGTATTGCAAGTTCTAAGTTCTAAGACGGTGTTTGCTGACGCCAGAAAGTTAGGGTCTTACAGCATTGCTAGTGTCAGCAGGCTTGCTGACAGAGAACAAAGGAGTTGGCTCATGCTCCGAGCTGTGCTACTTGCTCGACCTTGTTGTCGTGCGATTGTTTTGCCGCTTGAGTGATGCGTGCGTGATCATAGCTTCGCAGCTTGCTGGTTCAACTCTGGCGGTGAGCAAAGGTTTGTGAAGTTGTGTTTGCTTGGGCAGCCGGTGTATTCAGCTTAGCTGGCTTCGGGTTATGTTGTTTGGCTGCGGTGGTTTATTTGGGTTCTATTAATTTTAATGTTCACTGCCCAACGATGCATCCTTGTGGATCTCCTTGCAGTGTTGTGCATCTTGGCACTTGCATAGCGCAAGTCAAGTGACATGGACTCGCTCAGCGTGGAGATATCACATGATGTCACAATGTAGATAAAAGAGGTCGATACGGGCGCGACGAAGGGATATTGCAGCCAGGCCACAGGTTGAGGAAGATACCAGCATGCGCCGGCCATGTCAGCCTCGAAACTGCGAACATCCGAGCGGATCCCTGATCAGACGCAGAAATGATTCACATCCTGGCGGTGAGAGTAGAAGTGCTGGCGAAGGCATCAAGGTCAGGCGGCCAAATCGTTGCTGTCCGGGACAACCCGGTTCATGGCTTGAACCTGGCTTTAGCAAAGCTCGGTTTGTTTTCCTTTGTGAATGTGACGCCGGGCATGACAATCTTGGAGAACCACCTGGACCACTGGGAGGTTCTGGTTACAACTTGAATTTTTAGGCAGTGAAGGTGCCTGCCGAAGTCTGATGTTTTGATATATATATATTTTTAAAATATTGTGTTCCTGTCAGTGGCTGGCAAGTTGCTTTCAATGGAAGGTGCGGTGAAAGAACTTTTGAGAACAGTGCTTCTTTTGTGCCAGAAGAGGTTTGTCGGTAGAGGTATTTGCAATGAGAACCTTTGCAAGCCAATCCTCTTCTATGAGTCCATATGCACATGGGCGAGCTGCGCGTACGTGGCACAGTGCATCAGGCAGCAACTGGGCAAAAGCCACGTCATTGGAGCTTCAGGTCCGTCAATGCAATCCAAGCAATACCTACAAGAACAAGGAGAGACAAAAGGCCTGCAAGGGCAGACCGTAAAATTGGAAGATCCAACTATATAAGTATGGATACATGAGCTTCGCAAAAGGGCTACAGGATTTTTTTGCAACTGCTCAACTGCAATGTACGTGAGGCCTCCACAATCTACAAGCTGTATCAGCTGTGCTGAGTGCATCTTCCCCACCTTAGAGTTTGCTTCACCCATAAAGCCTGCGGGCATTTGCGGGCTCTGGCGGGTGGAAGCTCCCGAATTTGCCGCCGGAGTTGTTCGGGGTTGATGGGGCATGGCGTGGACTTACTGTACGTCAACCTGTATTTTTGTTGCCCATAGGGGCTCTTTCTTCAAATTAAAGGATGGCAACAATTTATTGCAGTTTCAACGTTTTCTTGGGGCAAGCGGCAAGCGCATCCTCCCTTGCAAGATCACATGATGACAGCACGCAATTCGAAATATTGCAAGAGGTAGTGAGATCCAAGGGCAGCCTTCCCCAGCAAATCCTGCACAGCAATAGCCGTCACCTACCTGAACTATTCCCTGCGAGCTCCAGTGAAACATTTTTGCTTTGGATACTTTCAGAAATTGGCATGCCCGCTTGGATTTTGCAGGCGTGCTCAAGACCGTGTCCTGAATCGATCGCTGCTACCTCAGTCAGAATAGTTGATATATATATGTATATTTATGCATATAGTTATACAAACTTTTTATATACACGCATGTATATATATAACATTGCACAACTATTTAATTACTACTGTATAATATATGTTTGATATTAATATGTATGTATTACATATACACATGAACTAATTACATGTTTCTGACACAGCCAAGCCTTGGATTAGATTAGAGCTGCTTTGGACACGCTTGCGTTTGAGATATCTGGGTCTTTTGACTCTTTCTTAGGTTGCGTGCCAGCTGATGTAGCTGGAACTAGTCCAAAGCTGTTTCACTGCCTGTGACAAACAGTTTTTTGGATGCCAGAGGACAAATAAGGCTTCAGAACTCTGCGTCTTCAATTGGAGGAGCGCAGGCAGCTGCAAATGATTCATTGTGTCACCATTGAGCAAGAGACTCAGTGATTTTAGACCAGAAGGAATTTTAGAATAGCAAATGCACGAGCCCAACTTGCCACAGAATTCTTCCAACTGTGCAGACCATGTACAGAGTTGCCGGACGCGTGGCAGATTGACGTGCTTGGTTTGGTGGCGCTACTTGGCAATGGTAAGGCAAAAGACCTGCATTGGTTTCTGGGGTCTTTCGATGGAGAAGCTTCCTTGAAGAGCCTGAGCTTTATACAGTGATGAAAGTGAAGTGACTTTTTCGCTTGTGCCGATGCCATTTCAATAGGGTGGGAACAACCTATATATAGGTTCGCTGAGCTTGAGGTGAGCACTGAGCACTGTCATTTGCGTTTCATTGGTGATATGCACAAATGTTCGGTTGAACATTGGTAGCGGAGCCATCCTTGCCCCTCCATGGCAAGCGCTCGGCAACGCTGGCTGTCTATGAGGGGAGACAGCAGGACCATTCCAAGCGGGGAGGGAGACCTGGTGAGCTGCAGAGAGTTTGCCATTGAACCTGTCCAAGTCAGGTGCACTGGCCAGCGGCTCACCAGTTCGATTCCCCACAGCCAGCGACGGCGCAAAAGTGAAGAAGGTCTGGAAAGAATGTGGTCGTGCTCCATGGTTCTTTCATTGTTTCTCGTTGGCATGCCCGTGAAAATTTCGAGCAGGGAAAGGGGATATCGGATAGCAGATCCGCCAACAAAGGAGCCTGTCGGGCAGTTCCTGCAAGCCTGGACAGATGGCGTGGGATAAGAGGCGGCTTGGGAGAAAGCCAGGTGTGTGGGCGATGAGAGCGCGGCCCATGTGAAGCTGCCACTTGTGTGACTCCCTTGCCACTTGATCCGAGGCTGTCGCTTGTGCCGCTGCCTAACGCAGGAAATAGTTTCCGAAGAAAAGTGCTTAGTTACCTAAGATCACCGATGCGCTACCGAATAGAACCGTGACTGGATGGAAAGAATCTGGGTTCGCCGCCGGGCCTTAGTGATTCAAGGCGACATGCCCCCTCACCCGAACCAAAGCCAAAGGTTACCCAGTTACCCAAGCATGACACAGACCGGCGCAGTGCCCGCACAGCTGCGGCTCGGCTCAAGGGGCCTGGACGGCGTGGCGACTTCGCCGTAGGTAGTTAGTCCGGGAGTTTTCCGTGGCGCGCTCAGTGGACGCAGTTTTTGTCGGGCTTTTGACTTTTGGGGTTTGGGGACACAAACATGTTTGAGGACGCAGACAGGCATTTCATCTAAGCACGGGGTTGCCTTGCATATGGCAATGCCTTGACAGTGAAGTGGGTGATGCCGCCCGACTTACGCACGTTTTTGTTATTGTTAACGGTGTCAGGCTGGCGGAAACATTCAACGAAGAGAAACGTTTTGTATTGGTTTGCGTGCCGCAGTGTTTCGTCCACAGCAGCCTTTGTTTTCCTTTCTATAGTCCCACGCGTGGGCATCTGACAAATGCCCTAAAGTTCCTTTTTGTCCGACATCACAGTCTTGCAAACCTGAAATGCTCTGCAAATGGGGTTTCAGTTACCGCCTCCTTGGTCCTTGTCCATGGTTGTTTGAAACTGAGTGGTTCAGGTTTGGTTGAAAAAGGTCTGCATTTGGAGTCATCAAACCCTCTCGGTAAAAACATATATGTATGTATGTATGTATTATATATATTATCTATATGTGTATGTACACATAAAATGTTTTCAAATTTTGAGTGGACACATATGCCGACAGTGGCATAGCCTGGACGTTGCGTGAACTAAACAGAGGCATCGATAAGCTCAACTTCACAGACTCCTTGACAGCAAACAGTCATTTCGACTGTATTACGTTTGCGGTTTCTAGCTCCCAAGCGCGACACTGGACATTACCATTTTGCACTTGCACTAATTACACCAATTGACAGTTTCCTATGTTGAGCTCCGGTTCGAAAACATCGTGCTTCCTGCGGTTTCTATATGTTACTTTTCCCGAATGCGTAGCGAAGGGTTCTCGTTTAACTCTTGGGGGTCTGGGGGTGGAGCCTTGTTCGTGACCCGTTGTTTCTACGTCCGCAACCGTCCGCAACCGTTCGCAACCGTCCGCAACCGTTCGCGGTAGAGCGCTAAGGCGCTGCCATTGGGGGAAGCTTTTGCAAGTGACTTTGCATGGATGTGTCACGTGTCAGTTTGCGCCGCTATTCCATTGTGATTTGCATGACAATGACATGTCGCGCAAGAAATGTGATGCATTTCGCTGCACAGGCGCAGCGTTTTGTGAGATCCGCAGATTGGGGCGCAGTTCCATTGGGATTAGCGTTTGGAGAGTCGTGTTTTTGGGGTGTTGGATGTGGCCGTGCCATTGGGATTTGCGTTTCAGTGTGTGGCATCGAAGCTCGGTTTTCGTGACAAGTCTCAGCTGAAATGCCGATTTTTGGTGGATGGGAGTGTGCTCAGAACGGGTCGAAATCATTCCAAACGTGTGGTGTGGTGCAAATTTGTGAGGTGTGACGGAGGTGACATTTCGTGGCAGGCGCAGTACTTTGTGCGCGTTAGACGTGTGGACGCGGAAAGATTCGTGGCAGGCGCAGGGAATCGTGAGGTTGTGAGTAGAGGTGAATGTCGCTGTCACATTGGGATTGGCGTGTGAGCGGATGTTGTTTGGAGGGGCTGGAATCGCGAAACTGCTTGGCAGGGCTGCGTGATGTGTATGTGTGTGCTCCGATGGGTTTTTCCGCTTGGCTTTTGGAGGAAGTCTCGTACGAAACGCTCGTTTTGCAGACTTTGACGTGTGAGTTTTTGAGGAAGTCTCGTACGAAACGCTCGTTTTGGAGACTTGACGTGCAACCCTCTGCGGAGATCGTGCGTGTCGAGTGTGCGAAATGCAGGCGAGAGTGCGATTTGTCCCATGCGCGCGCAACCCTCTGCGGAGATCGTGCGTGTCGAGTGCGCGAAATGCAGGCGAGAGTGCGATTTGTCCGGCGCCGGAAGCTGAGAACTGGCGACCTTGTAGTACAACTTTAGTACACGGAGTATCTGGGGAGCTGGAAGAATGTCCCACAAGAGTGTCCTACAAGAGTGTCTCACTAGAGTGTCCCACAAGAGTGTCCCACAAGAGTGTCCTACAAGAGTGTCCAACAAGAGTGTCCCACAAGAGTGTCTCACAAGAGTGTCCCACAAGAGT